AAAATCTTCCTCTATATTGCAGCATCGTAGATTTGTTGATGTTGGAAGGGGCTTTGGGGAGGTCTCAGTCCAACCTGCGGCCCAGGGCAGGGTCAAGCCTGAATTCACAGGAGGCCAATTCAGGGCTTTGTCCAACCAGGTCTTAATATCCTCCAGCGACAGAGATTTCCCAGCCACTGTGAGCCATCTGTTCTAATACATAATCATCCCCAGGGTTGGTTTGGGGTTTTTTTCTGTTGTAGAATTGGAATATTGAATATTTCCATAGGACCAGTGAGAGGGTAACTCCCTTCTGTGGTGAGGGTCTCGGAACTGAGTTAACTGGAAGATCATTGTGCTTATTCTGGAGACAGAGATGGCAAAAATGAACTCTCTGAACAAAGAACTCTTGTGTTATATCAAAACTGTGCCCTGGCCATGGCAGCTCTGTCCCCTCCACTGCCAGGCCTGGGTTACTCCAACCCAGATCCTTGCACAGCTTAATGGTACCTCCATAGTAATTTTTCTTAAACTTCTGCATTAAGAGGTATAAAGTTGTCTGCTGCTTTTATTCTTCCTCATAATACAGCTCAGCAATAATGTAGAGCTTTCCATTGTCATTAACTAATACAGATGCTAATTAATTAATCATGCTTGCATACCCCTCTACTAAATTGCTTGTCTACTAAAATGTATCCTTCCTATTCCCTAAAGGCATTCTATATATCAGCGAGGCCTTCTGTTAATCTTCTCTATTCCGCAGCACTTTTAACCTTCTTTTGCTTATCATTTAGCGTGATTAAGGCTTATTATCTCAGTTGTCCTCTCTTGAACCTTCTGTGTTGTCCATTTCATATTTTTTTTTCCTTCCACTAACCAGAGGTGTGTAACCATCCCAGATTCTCTCCTGATTAAGTGTGAAAAATCAGGAAAAAATGAATCAGGGTTGACTCTACCAGAAGCCAGATTGTAGAGTCACTCTCAGGAATTCAGACCTGACTTTCTGGTCCACACCAAGGTGCAGTTCCATCTGCAATTGCTTTTATTTTTGTCTTTTTTTAACAATACTCGTCACAGTTTGCTGATTAGGCCTTTACTAGTCAATTGTGCTCAGTTTATGTGGACATATGAGAGAAAAATTAGAGAGAAATTTAGAAAAGAGAGAAAATTAGAAATCTGAGAGAGAAAATTAGAAATTTGGAAAGAATGGAAAAAAAATTCCAAGAATGATTTCGAGACTCAAAATGATGATTGATAATGAGAAACTAAAGTAATTAAACCTATTCCAAGATAAAGTAACTTCGAGTGCACCTGTGGAACCTCCAGGGAGAGGATTTCAGAGAGTGCTGAAATTGAACCAAGGTACAACAAAACCCACAGTTTGAAAACTGGAGACAGACTCATTCAGAGCGCATTTAAGATTTACTGAGAGTAATTCACCATCAGGACAATTAACCTATGGACATAGTGAATTCATTGAAGTATTTAAATTGAGACTAAGTATTTTTCCTAGATATATGGTTGTCCAGCCAGAAATTATTGCATGAGACGCTTTGGTATTGTCTTATATATGAAGTCAGAATAATTCTTTACAGTCTCTTTTGGCTTTAAAATTTAAGCCTCTAAATCTCATATGCTCAAAACATTGATTTTTTTTTTTTTTAAATATATTCTGAAAAGAATATATTTAGGGAGAGAGAAAAGGGAAAGGGAAAAGGAAAAAGAAGGGAAACTTCTAGGTGTTTGGGGAAGGGGTGTGGCTTATTCCTGATTAAATACCAAACATCACAGAATCACGGAATCACAGAATGCTGTGGGGTTGGAAGGGACATCTGGAGATCATCTAGTCCAACCCCCTGCCAGAGCAGGTCCATCTAGAGCAGGTCCCACAGGAACCTGTCCAGGTGGGGTTTGAATGTCTCCAGAGGAGACTCCACCACCTCTTTGGGCAGCCTCTGCCAGGGCTCTGCCACCCTCAAAGGAAAGAAGTTCCTCCTCATGTTTAGATGGAGCTTTCTATATTCAAGTTTGTGCCCATCTCCTCTTGCCCTGTCCCTGGGCACCACTGGAAAAAGCCTGGTCCCATCCTCCTGACACCCACCCTTTCAGGATTTATAGGTGTTGATCAGATCCCCCCTCAGTTTTCTCTTCTCCAGACTAAAAAGACCCAAGTTCCTCAGCCTTCCCTCGTAAGAGAGATGCTCCAGGCCCCTCATCATCTTTGTAGCCCTTTGCTGTCCCCTCTCCTGGGATTCTTGCCCACACAAACTTCCCAGTGTTTTCCTGGGAATAGCACAGAATATGCTTCGTTGTTCAAGACCCTTCATTCCCTTGGTGTCTTGTAACATAAAATCTCTTTTAATTTATTCCTGTTATTTACTATTTCTCTCCCATCATTGCATTGAGTGAGGTTGGGTTGTTGTGGTTGCTCCCCTGTTCCTGTTTAAGGTCCAGCTCGTTGCTCTGTCAGGAGTGGCTCCTGCAATAATTATACCCACAGATTCTCTCCCTGGAAAATCTTTCCCGTTACTGCTGCCTCTCCAATGAGGCAGTGCCAGATTTGTCAGGCAGGCTCTCTGGGGGTAAATGCATGCTGACTCTCTCTGCAATTTAGCTATAATTTGCTAAATGTTCTGTGCCAACTATTTTCTACTATTCTTATTATTCAAATCATGCTTGTAGAGCCTTCTTGTTCTGGCTTTTCCCCCCTTGTTTTTCTTCAGATCCGTAATAAATATAACATGGACTTTACCCTGCTACTTCTGCCTATTTTGTCAATCCCAAGGGATCAGTTATTGAAGTTTGGCTGATTTCTGCCTCCTCAGAGATTTGAATTGTCATTTTTTTGCCTCTCTTCCTCCTTTGTTTTGGGTACTGTCCCTCCTCGCTCTCTTCAGGAAAACTGAGTGAAGGATAATGAGGTTTTAAACTGAGTGAAGGATAATGACGTTTTGTATCTCTTATCCCAGAATCACAGAATGCTATGGGGTTGGAAGGGACCTCTGGAGACCATCTAGACCAACCCCCTGCCAGAGCAGGGCCACCTAGAGCAGGTCCCACAGGAACATGTCCAGGTGGGTTTGAATGTCTCCAGAGGAGACCCCACCACCTCTCTGGGCAGCCTCTTCAAGGGCTCTGCCACCCTCAAGGGAAAGAAGTTCCTCTTCATGTTTAGATGGAACTTCTTCTGTTCAAGTTTGTGCTCGTTTCTTCTTGTCCTGTCACTGGGCAGCACTGGAAAAAGCCTGGCCCCATCCTCCTGACTGCTACCCTCTTCCATTTCTACTTCTCTTTTTTTTTATCACTGATTTTTCCTCACCCTCTTATGAGAACTTTCCTCCATTTCTACCTCTTTTTTTTAACACTGATTTTTCCAGCTAATTTTTTTTTTCTCCATAAATAGGCTTCTCTTGCCTACCTGTTGCTCCAAGGCTGTAAGCACATCCTGTGTCCCAGGCATTTACTGCCAAAATCCCCTCATTTCTCCTGGCTCCTACTGACAGTGAACATCTCTGGTGAGCAGGGGGTTAATCTGTTCCTCGGTGTTACGTGTCCCAACCCTTTTGTTTCACCCAGGACTTAGAGTTGAAAACTATCAGTATTCTTGCTATAAAAAAAGTATTTTAGTGCTGCCCGTAAAAACAAACAAGCAAACAGTATCCACCCACAGATGATGGGCTTTGGGAATGAGAAGATGATTGCTTTTTCTCTCTCTCTCTCCTGTCTGTGCTGCAAGTGTAACACCTCTTCAAGGATAGGGTATCGTAGCCTCCTGCTAATGCATTGATGACCCATTTTTATTTGGTATCGTGCTATTCAAAGACAAAAGAAGGTGAGGGAGCTTTCGTGATTAATTGGTCTGTGCTACCTGTCCCAGAATGCCGACTGAAACTGGAACGCTCCGGCTCCCAAAGCTAAATTCACAGAAAGCAGCTGGGTTGTTTTATTTTTTTCTAATAAGAAGCAGAAACGCACACCTGCCACTTAATATGTGAATGATCTTTAAAATACCGGCTTGTTTCCACCAGATCAAAGCAACAATGGCTTTAGATACAGTCGTTTAAACCCATTTGCATCCTCTTCCCTGTTGTCCATCACAGCTGTAGAGAGGCACTTTTAGGAATGATGCATTCCCTGCATTATGTTCACGTTTCAGTTTAAAGCTGTAGCTGATTTCCATTCTTTTGACTATACAAGATCATCTCTGGTGCACTGTTCATTTGGCACATTAATAATAACAGAGACTCGAACGTGCTCCAGCACTTGTACCCTCACTGTGGTACTCCAGCGACCCGCTGTCAGGTGTGAGTTGGTTTTCCAATACTTCTGCAGTGAGAAAAGTGCTATCGCCTTTATGGAAGTAGGGAATGGAAGCACATGGATACCCAAACACTTCCATGGCCACTTAATAAGTAAGTTCAAAATGCTATGGGGTTGGAAGGGACCTCTGGAGATCATCTGCTCCAGCCCCCTGCCAGAGCAAGGCCGCCCAGAGCAGGTCCCACAGGAACGTGTCCAGGTGGGTTTTGAATGTCTCCAGAGAAGGAGACTCCACCACCTCTCTGGGCAGCCTGTTCCCCTCACAGCAGTCAAGTGAAGCATTCAGACCAGTATTTATTTGAAGAAACTGGAGTAGAACAGTTATGCTTTCATCCCAGGAGCATAAAAACACTTGGAGCAGATGGGAAGGGGATCTCCAGAGCCACATGCTAGCACTTGTAAAGCTCTGTAGCCGAACGGAAGGATATCTCACTTAGAATAATGCTTAAAGGGAGATGGGACAAGAGGAGACACAGCCACAGCTAGGGAATCATCAACTGGGCCCTTCAAAATCTGTAAAAACACAGTTACTGATTTGATTGGAAAAATGCTTTGGAATGGCTTAATCTGCTCTCAAAAGAGACTGTTTATTCATCCTTGTGTATGTGTTGGTTTTCGGGAAGGGTGGGTAAAGTAGGGATCTTGTTGGCACTTTTAAGGTGTATAAGGCATGTTTTTACTTTGTTTTTTGTTCCCTTTAGAAGCCTTAAAGCACATAACTTGTGGTCGTGCTCTGCTGTTGTCACAACCTTGGCAGAGGTAGGTGTTATTGTGCTTTCTCTTAAAGCCTGTGACTTTATCCTGGTGTTGCTGCTCTTATGCCTGGGGAAGACTTCCCCTTTGAGTCTCAGCCATTGCTGGCTGTCACAAATGTTGGGTCACCAGCCTTCATGCTGTTCCGAAGTCGTGATTTGTCTAAGGGAGCTGCAGTAGCTGAGCCGGCTCTCATTTTGGGTCAGATTGCCTGATTTTGCCCAGTTCTGGCCTGGTGATGGGTGGCCACCTCAGCCCTCCCTCAGAGCGACGCCGTTTCCAGTGTTCAAGTTTCATGGTGCAATGAAGCAACTGATATCTGTATAGAACTGCTCTCAGTGAGGATGTGAAAGTGGAGAACATTAATTATTTAATGTTGTAAAGTGTTTCAGGGGTGTAACCTGGCAGAACAAGGCTTTTTCTTGTGTGTGTTCAAATAGATGGAATATACAGGAGAGCGTTAAGGGCTCTCCTAATTATCAACGCCTCCAGATAATTCTATTAATGGGAAAATATACCATTTCCATACGCCACCCAGGCACCTGGTATCAGCAGCAATATCCTTCCAAATAGGATGTCAGCTTCAAAGAGTGGCTTGTTTCTATTTAGCAGCTGTCAGAGGTAGACTGGAGCAGCTGTATGAGCTGTCACCCGTTGGACGGGCAGCAAATTTGTTTTCTAAGAAGCACAGAGGTTTTGTTATGCCCTGTCAGGGAATCGTTCTGAACGTGAAACGTGGCATCTTGCATTTTACATTTGTGCCCAAGCAGCTTTGGGAAGGGAAGGCTCCCACTGCCTGGCTCGTGGCAGCCTGGGAAGGAAGGAATTTCAGTCATTGGGGAGGATAGACTTTATAAAGGTTGTATGTATATGATATTTTTTTATATGTATATAAAGTATATAATATATACGTAGTATAAAAGTATATAATATATACACATACGGCATTTAATAACTGCGGGTTGCTGTCGTGTACAGAAAATAGACACTTGAAAGAATGAAAAGGCTGCAGCGTAATTTAAAGTTCTAACATTAAGACAGAAGTGGTAACTACAGTGAGCGCTGTCATGACCACAGATAATATATAATGATGTACTCGTACATGGGCTTTGGCTCTTGTCAGACCCTGAGGAAATCCAATCTGTTACAGCCGTTCCAGAGACTTCTGTGCCAGTGCACAGAAATTCACTTCATCTTTGGTGCTGATGGTTGATATTCAGCATTTTGGGGCACGACGAATATCAAAGGTGTGGCAAATATTTTACATATTTTCTTATCGAGCTAATCCAACCCAACCTCTGCGTTCTGCCACAGTGCTAGGACCCAACAGCACGGGTGGTACAATCAAGGGTAGCACGTCGCTCCTTATTTTCTGGGTTACCATAAAATGATCTGCAATTACTCTGCAATCTACCGCCAGACAATCTGGGACAACGAGGCACATCACATCATTTTGATATTTTGAGAAATGGGGACAAAAGAATTAGAACATTCTTGTGGGCTGCCTTAAAATTTTTTTCATGACAGCAAGTAAAAATTTTTGCAGTAGGGCAAGATTCCTAACCTTTTCAACTGCAATTTTATTTTTTTTTTTTCAAAGACGAAAAGGCACTTCATTGAAATCTTTAACAGTAAATGCAGCTATTTAAAAAAAGAGATTGAAAAAAGGTATTCTGAGCCTTCTGACAATAAAGCCAATGATTGCATTGCCCTCACTAGTATAATTTACTGCCAAGGCAATGTCAATGAAATTTAGATAAGATTTTAAATCTTATGTAGTGATAACAGGAATTTAGTGTTTGCTTTAATTGTAACACACATCACAGCTTCCTCACACAAATTTAACTATAAAACTTGAAATCGCTGTTGCTGGATCTAACACATTTGTAAAACTTTATGAACAGGTACAATTCATCTTGATTTGATAAATGACTTGATGTCCTGTGCATCAAATTCTGAATTACAGAAACAAACAATACTCTTTGGGAATTATTTTTTCCCACTGCTTTTAGATTTAATCTGCTGTTCTGTTATTAACTTTTACCAAATGTACAACTTTAAACTGCGTGAAAAAAAATACTCAATGCAGACCTAAGTCGTCTTTAAAGTACCATTTAAAAATAAACTATTGCTTAAAAACATCCAAAAAACTGGATTCCAAGAAGTGAAAACACATGAAGACAATAATTGTACTGTAATGACTTCAGAAGAGTAGATCGAGCATCCCCTGCCTGGGAAAGATCATGAAACAGTGTCCCTAAATTCAGGCTCACACTGGGATGCAGGTTAAAATTGTGTTTACCATTTTGACACATAGAAGCATAGAGTTGCTTAAAAACATCCAGAAAACTGGATTCCAAGAAGTAAAAACACATGAAGACAATAATTGTACTGTAATGACTTCAGAAGAGTAGATTGAGCATCCCCTGCCTGGGAAAGAGCATGAAACAGTGTCCCTAAATTCAGGCTCACACTGGGATGCAGGTTCAAATTGTTTACCCTTTTGACACATAGATCCAATCTGGCCTTGAACACCTCCAGGGATGTAAATGATTGTTTCATGCTCCCTAGTTGATGAAGACAAGTCCCACACGAAAACCTAAACCTTCTTTTGTTTGTTCCTAGACTGTAGTATGATTTTGGTGGTCAATTTATTATATAAACCCTCAGTAAATGGATGCTGTCTACTGTGAAATGTAGAATATTCTGTGTTGATGATGAAGGAAAATGCTGAGACAGAGATATAAGTAAGATGAGGCTATATTATACCTGGAAGTTAAGTAACCCCAGTGATGGAGGAGGATAGATGTGTGTCCCGTTCTTACCAGGTGAGTAACACTGCCTCTAAAAATCACAGCGGGTGTGAACCAAACTCTTCCAGACCCTTAAAGGACCTGTCACCTGTACAAAATGTATGCCATAGCAAACAAAAAGTCAATTATACTGCACTTACCCTTTTTACCATGAACAATTGCACCCTTTTTCCCCTGGGATTGTGTGCAAAGACTCCACAGAAAAGCTCAACAACTCATCTGCCTTTCACTGTGGGGTTAAGATAAAAACGAGCTACTTTACTGCTGCCTTATTATTTGAGACCCAGCATGAACCATCCCCATAAATTCTCTCAATTAAAGCTGTATCTTCCACTTGGGATAAAAAGATGGAGAAGGAGCTGCACTTTGTTCTCATACTCCTTGGAAATTTCTGGGCCCACAGGGGTGAATGCCGTGCGCCTTCTGGATGGATTGGGTGCCTCTTCTTGACTAAGACTTGTGAGTAAAGTTGGCTCCGGATTTCCTTTCTTCACCACCTCCCTTGCAGATTTCAAGTAGAGATTTCAAGGGTAAGTCAATCACTTAAAATTTTTAGTGATGATGCTCCTTAGTTGCAACCCCCTGCCATGGGCAAGGACACCTCCCATGAGACCAGGTAAGTCAATCACTTAAAATCCTTAGGCTCAATCTTAAAAGCAATGATCAATATACCTAGAAGATTCTGTGATTCTGTGAAAATCCTTAGGCTCAATCTGAAAAGCAATGATCAATATATTTATTTTTTTATCTTCTATATCCCTGGAATAAGTTAAAACACATTTTCAAGCTGTTCACAACTATCTGTAATGTGAACAACACACAAAAAAATGATTAAGAAAAGAGTGAAAAAACACAATCAGACCAAAAAAAGAACATTTCAAGTCTGAAACTCAGAAAATTAAAGTAGATCCTTATTTTCTTAGGTTAGTTAAACGATCAAGCAAAATCACGTACTTTCAAAGAATGTAATTTCTCCCTGGTGAATTTTCTTGCTCTTTCAATTTGCAGAACTGCTCTGAAGTAGCTTCTCTCTTTTTTTCAACTTGAGGATTATTCATGTTATGACTAGCCATGAATATTCAAAACTTGAGCTATTATTTGAATGCATTTGGCCAGATACATTGTATGTAATTCCTGCTTCTTTATTGGAGAAAAATAGAGGAATTCTTTGTTCAAATATTTGAGTCGACATATTTTCCATTTGTTTTTAAACAATATTCATACATTTGAATTTTAAATTATTTTTTTTTACGAACACGGGTTTATGAAAAGTTGATTGCTCAGATTTTTCCACAAAATACACTCAATGACGTGACTGTGACCAGCCTGCCTTCGTTTGAAAACAAGTAAGAATATTCATGACAGATTTTTCTATACTTTATGCCTAACTTTTCTGCAATGTATTGTTTTATGCACACACGGCTGTGAACCATTTGAATGTAAAAGCTGCTCAGCAAAATGGTTGTGCTGGTGTCTCGGTCCCATTACTTTTTGCACCATGCACTGAAGTCAGCAAGAATGGCAGATGTTTGGCAACTTTGGAAATCAAGCCAAGACCCCTTGCTGGGGTTGGTCTGATGGCAGAAGGACCCTATTCTCTGTATGTGATACAAAGCCTAAGATGTAGACTCCCTGCTCTTCAAATGGACATGCCATGTACAGTGAAATTGCACTCTAAGTTTCCTGAATGCTTAATTAAACAATAGAATATAGAATCATAGAATCATTTTGGTTGGAAGAGACCTTTAAGATCACCAAGTCCAACTGTTAACCTGGGGTTTCTTAAGATCATCAAGTCCAACTGTTAATCTAATGCTACCAAGTCCACCACTGAACTATATCCCTCAGCGTCACATCTACTCGTCTTTTAAATACCTCCAGGGATGATGACTCAGCCACTTCCCTGGGCAGCCTGTTCCAATGCTTGACAACCCTTTCAGTGAAGAATTCATAGCACCATGCAAGAAGGCAGCTGGTGCATGCCTAGGTGAAAGGGAAAAAAAGAAGGTCAGTGCTCCTTGGACAATCTGGCAGAGAATTTCTGCCCACCTTAGGACTTGCAAGACAAGGAAAACCCTAAAAAATGAAGCTTGGGCTCCATGTGTCCATGTATGGGTGTCTGGTGGTGGCTTTGCAGAGGTGGAGGCTACTCTTCAGTCAGATATTACAGACGTGTGGTGAGAAGAAGTGGATCTAAGTTGCTGTAATGTCTTTCTGCAATTCCCCAAAATCCCTGTGATTTTGATAAGTTGGCTACTCTCTGCATCTCCTGACACTGGCAGAAAAGAATCATAGAGTGTTTTGGGTTGGAAGGGACCTTAAAGATCACCTAGTTCCAACCCGTTGCCATGGGCTGGGACACCTCCCACTAGACTAGATTTCTCAAAACGCCCTCCAACCTGGCCTTGAAACCCCTCCAGGGATGGGGTAGCCACAGCTTCTCTGGGCAACCTGGACCAGGGTCTCACCACCCTCACAGCAAAGAAATTCTTCCTCAGATGTCATCTCAATCTCCCCTCTTTCAGTTTAAACCCTTCCCCATCATCCTATGGCTCCCCTCCCTGATCCAGAGTCCCTCCCCATCTCTCCTGGAGCCCCTTGAGGGACTGGAAGGGGCTGGAAGGTCTCCCCAGAGCCTTCTCTTCTCCAGGCTGAACCCCCCCAACTCTCTCAGCCTGTCCTCACAGCAGAGGGGCTCCAGCCCTCCCAGCATCTCCGGGGCCTCCTCTGGACTTATTCCAACAGCTCCATGTCCTTCCTGTGCTAAGGAACTTGTAGATCAGCACAATTTTCTGGTGATGGTGCAGCTGTCTGCCTCCTGCATTCGTACCAACGAGCGCTGAGAAAATCAAGTCTCATTTTCCTTGTCCCATCAGCAAATAATAAGACACCCCAATATTATGCAGACAGAATGACCTCAGAGCACCAGCAGTTTAGACAAAGAGTTCACAGCAGAGGGCAATTTATAAAATGGACACTTTTGGTACAGTAGGTTGCTCTGCGTTGTGCTGATCCACCCGTGTCTCCTTGATCCCTGGAGGGCAGGGTCGGGGTGGTGTCCAGCCACTCTGGCTGGGGTTTGTCCATTCCTGTGCTCACCACACACCAGGGAGATCCAGATATGGGGCTCATGGTCTTCTGTGCGCTCAAGGGAAGCTGTCTCTACGGCTCTCCCCTTGGCTCTCTTGCTACAGCAGGTCTAGCAGGGGGCTGAGGCATCCCAAAATTTAATTGAGCTAGTGGAGTTGCAGAGGAAAAAATTCACAATATTACTATAAGTAGCATGTGATCATTGGTGATGGAAGGGCGGAGAGGACAGCAAAGTTGTGAAAAGCTGAATAAGACCAAGCACACGGACGTGGCTTGGGCAATTTCCTACAAGCCAAGTAAAGACACTGATCTCAAGCAGCTCGATGTAAAATGATCCCATGTCCAAGTCAGGACTGTTTTCTTCTTTAGCTGGGTTTTCTTAGAGCATTCCCAAATGGAAAGAACCCAGTCTGCTGATCCATCGTCAGTTCTAGTCTAGCAAATACGTATAATGGAGTGATTTTTTTTTTCGGAGAGCAATAAAAACTGTATGAGATTGCAAGGAGTTTATGTATGTTTTATAGCAAGAGCAGCCATTAGAGTACAACTACATTGTTTTCCTCTTTCCTGCTTCCTTTCTGCTTTCAGACCACATTCCCGGTGAAGTCAAGCAGGAGGTTCTTTAGTTTCGGCAAATGTCTCAGTGAAAAAAATTAGCAGTACAACTATGTATTTATGCAGGGGCATTAAGCAGATTGTAAATGTTATAAATCAAACAGTATTGCCAAGCAGGAGGTTATGTATGTTAATGCAGTACGTTTCCCAGTCATATCCCCTGATCAAGCAGGAAAGTCAGGGTATGATATTTTGAATGTAATTCTCTAAAGTCAAAGGCTGGAGTTTCTCAAGTCTAACTCCACGGGGTGTGTTCCACCACTGGTTCACTCCATCTTATTTCCAGGAGAATGGGATTTTCAGCAATGTAGAATTCTGTATTAAAAATGCTCCGTGACAAGCCCATAGATGGTATAAAATGCTTCACGTGAAGTTATGCTTAGTTACATGTCACTGCCGTTCTGTATGAGTGGTAGGAAAGCAAAAAGTTTAATTCCCTGTGAATGTGTTGGTTGTGTTTGTGTGTGTTTGGTTTTGGTTTTTATTAGAAACATTGCTAGGGAGTATGGACATGTTTTTTTTTAAAGGAATAGTAAAATGATTTTGTACTCGGCACTGGTGAGGCCCCACCTCAGGTGCTGTGTCCAGTTTTGGGCCCCTCACCACAAAAAAGACATTGAGGTGCTGGAGCGGGTCCAGAGAAGGGCAATGAAGCTGGTGAGGGGTCTGGAGAATAAATCTTATGAGGTGAGGCTGAGGGAGCTGGGGGTGTTCAGCCTGGAGAAAAGGAGGCTGAGGGGAAACCTTTTCACTCTTTACAACTACCTGAAAGGAGGGTGTAGAGAGGTGGGGGTCGGTCTCTTCTCTCAAGTCACAGGCGACAGGACAAGAGGAAATGGCCTCAAGTTGTGCCAGGGGAGGTTCAGGCTGGATATTAGGAAAAATTTTTACACTTAGAGGGTTATTAAGCCTTGGAATGGGCTGCCCAGGGAAGTGGTTGAGGCACCATCCCTGGAGGTGTTCAAAAGATGGGTTGACATAGTGCTTAGAGACATGGTTCAGTGATGGTTTTTATCAGAGTTAGGTTGATGGTTGGACTAGATGATCTTAAAGGTTCCTTCCAACCTGGACAATTCTATGATTTGCCAAATGTTAGGGCCTGACTGTCCTCTGTGCATGTTTTTTCTCTATGTAGATGTTGGACTGAAATGGATCTCTCAGATTAGAAAATTGAGTATGTTGCGATTAAAGGTGGACACATTTTTGACAGCAGGTATTTTCCAGTTCCCAGTACTTCTGGAAGGTTTCTGGTGCCTAGAAATCTTCTTCCTACTGACAACCTTCTGTTTGCTGAAGCACAGATTGATTCCTGTCCTCCCTGAAGGTAGGGTCAACTCACTGCCTTTGAAAGTAATAGGAAAAGCTTACAGGTTTGAATTTGTGAATAGTTGGAAGTGGAGGAATGTGTGATTGTGTAAAAGATGTACTAGTTAAGAACAAGCTGCCTTCTGACTCTGAAAAAAGAAAAAAAAAAGGGATTTTTGGTAAGACAGACAAACAAAAACCCACAAAGAATTGGCTGCACCATTGACTCAAAGGATTTATGTTATGTAAATCAATGCCCATGGGAGGCTATAAATGTGATGGTGCTCTAAATTAGCTGAGGATGATGACGTCCTCTAAATTAGGTGAGGATCAGTTTGTCCTCAGACAGCCTTCTGACTGCAGGAATGTGTTTCCTATGGTTGCAGTAATCTGCTCCGGAAAATTAAAAACTAAACTAAACTTGTAGCCTTTCATTGTCCCTGAAACAATCATTTACCTTGTCTTTAACATTCTACTAGTTACAATTCAGTTTAAGTGCTAATTAGCATTTAAGTACTAATTAATATTAGCGTTTTCCATCAAAGATTTAAAATGAAAAAATCTAAAAATATCACAATGGAAAAATGTTTCTATGAAGGGAAGGATATTTTGCATGAAATTAAGAATACAACTTTTAACTAAGGAAAAGCCATCTTTTTCTGCTCAGAAATACTGTTTTCACCAGAGTCTAGTTAGAAAAATGCACACTGAAAAAAAATCTTAATCTGCTTATTATAATTTTACTTCTGAAAATACTTTAAAAGCAAGATCCCAGACCAGTCGGTTATTTTTGGCACAGCTTAGATTTCTTCTCTGTTGAGTAAAGCATTTAAAGATGTGTCTATCTTCAAGAATTTGCTTAAATGCAGTTGTTATTAGGTATATGCAGAAATGCTTTGCTGAATAGGGGTAGATTGCTGCAGCAGGCTCTACACCAACAAAGAATCAAGCAGATAAAGGGATGCTTTGGGTAAACTGTGTTGCATTTTTGAAAAGCTGAGATCCCCACCGCAGTGAGCACCATGCATCCGTCTTAATCATGGGAGCTAAAATTATAGTCTCCATTTTTCTTATCTGGAAATTATAGTGCAGGTGGAGGCAGTGATTTGCGTGTGGTTTATATGGTAAGTGGGATGTGTTTTTTTTTTTTCAGACCACAGCCAAATGCAGATAAGCAGAGCTTTTCAGTAACAACATCAATTCCATTCTCACAAGGGGAATATTTTCTTTTTGATTTGAGGTTTCCATCGGATCTTAATGAGCGCTACGTACGGGTCTTGAGGAAAGAGCTTGAGCCAAGACAGTCTGGTTCTGCAAAGCGGCTACTCTGTAATGAAACTTCTTATATGCCTGAGTTAATGGGAAAAACCATCAGTCAGCCCTCCCACTGACTTCAGGGATGAACCCGACCCGTTATTCCAAAGTGTTACCAACTGGACATGTTTGTACTTGACTGTTCTACGGCTGAAATGGGCTGGGGAGCACGATTATACGACGTGTGTGCACAGAGACCTGTGACAGAAACCAGTGTGGCTGATTATGACCGACTGAGGGTGAAAATGAAAGTGTCTTGCTGGGTAATGGGCTGTTCTAATCGAGATCTTGTCCAAAATACATGCTGAAAAGGACAAATCCTTCAAATTAGCTTTCCAAAACCGTGTTTTGTTTTGATTTTTGTTGTTGTTGTTGTTATTTAACTTCAGCTGAGATGTAGAATGAATCATTTTCTGTAATCAATGAGTAATCCTGAGAAGGCAGGGAAATACTCTATGAACGTGTTCCAAAAACATTTCTAGCTTTCACATTTCCATAATATTAAACTGAAGAGTTGCAAAGGGAAACTGCTAAAACATAAGGTTTTCCTGCGAGTCAGTGCTGAATTCGACAAAAAGCTCAGACTTTGCAGTTTGCTGTGGCTGATTGTGATCATCATCTTCTGTGACAAATCTGAGGAAAAAAAAGAAATCCATAAAATAACAGCATGCCCATTTTTCTTAGAGTAATTCAAGGAGCTGCATGATACTTTATGTGTAGTACTGAATTTGTGTTGTGATGTTTTGGTAATTTCAAGTTCATCTTACATTGGCCAATTCATAGGTGGAAAATACTTTTTTTTTTCTTTCTTTCTTTTTCCCCCTCAATAACTTACCACTTTTCAAGACATTCTCTCCTTTTATGGGCACTTTTTGGTAGCTCTAATAGAATCCAAGACTCCAGGAACTGCCCATAATTCATTCTTATCAAGCAATCATGAAGTGGGTACAGAGAACATGGTCACTGACAGCCTGCCTTGTTATCTTCTATCTGTTCCAAGGAACAGGCCCTCTTCAAGGCACACCATCTACTAAAATGGGTTGTGAACCATGATTGTAAAGTTCTTTGCATTTTTTTATTATTTACTATATAAGTTTTATGACCATCACCAAGATTGTTAAAACGTCCTGGATTATGCTGGAAGAGTACATACCCAAGAAACATCTAAGTATATCCAAATGTCATTGAAAAGGTATTGAGAAAGTTAAGACTAAACAGCTGTTTATTGAGAGGTTTTTTTTTTGCATAAAGTTATGATAGTAGTAAATCCCTCTTTGGAACTGTAAAGTAAACATTCAGAGATCAGTTGATTTATACAGCTCCATTAATTCACTATATTATGGACTCAGAGCTAAGCAGTCCCCAACGTAACCTTAGTTTTAGCATCGTCTGTCCTTCCAGCCTCCTCTAAGACTCTTTTTTCCCCTGAAAGCAAGTACTTAATGGCAGCATTCTGCATACCATAATTTATACTAGTAAAATTTCATTTTCGTTTATAACTGCATGAGTTTAGAACTTTAATTTTAATTTTTGAAGAGATGAACAATGATATCATTTTACTGGAATCTGGCAAAACTTTCGTGGCCTTTGCAGAAACAAATATACGATCAAATGCCTGTGTGTATGGAAATATTGGACTGCCTGAACTGATCTCCTGCTGGGCTGTGTTTCAGAGAACAGCTCTGACTTGGAAATATGGAGAGGGGAAGAGAAAAGAGCTGTAAGGGCTGAGAAATCTAGCAGAAAATAATCTGTTCCCTGTTACTGTTAACAAGTCCTACGGAAACTATGACTTCTTTCAGGCTTCTGCCTTCTCTTCACCAAAAATCCAGCTCTTTCTGTACACGGTGAATGGATTTAGGACCTAGTGTTGCATTCAAAACTGTTGCAGTGAATCATTATACTCAAAAACACTAGAACTTTGTGCTTGCTCCAAGGATTCATTCACATATAACACGCTGCAGAATAAACAGCAGCCAAAGGTATCCTAGAAAGAGCCTTGAGAGGACACCTCAGTAAATATTTTAATAAGTTTGTACAATGAATTTGGTTATTGCTTTATAGTGCATGGACTTCTACCTTGAGGTGAAAAAAGAGAAATATTCTATATAGAAAACTAAACAAAACCATTTGGTCCATGAAAGAATCGCTGAATTTGAATCACAGAATGCTATGGGGTTGGAAGGGACCTCTGGAGATCATCTAGTCCAACCCCCTGCCAGAGCAGGGCCACCCAGAGCAGGTTGCACAGGAATGTGTTCAGGCAGGTTTGGAATGTCTCCAGAGAAGAAGACCCCACCACCTCTCTGGGCAGCCTCTTCCAGGGCTCTGCCACCCTCAAAGGAAAGATGTTCCTCCTCATGTTTCGATGGAACTTCAAGTTTGTGCCCTTTACCACTTGTCCTGTCTCTGGGCACCACTGAAAAAAGCCTGGCCCCATCCTCCTGACACCCACCCTTGAAGTATTTATAGGTGTTGATCAGATCCCCCCTCAGCCTTCTCTTCTCCAGACTAAAAAGACCCAAGTCCCTCAGCCTTTCCTCATTAGAGAGATGCTCCAGTCCCCTCATCATCTTTGTAGCCCTCTGCTGTACCCTCTCCAGCAGCTCCCTGTCTGTCTTGAACTGGGGAGCCCAGAACTGGTCCCAGTGCTCCAGATGTGGCCTCACCAGCGCAGAGTAGAGGGGGAGGATGACCTCCCTTGACCCGCTCATTTTAAATCATTTGTGATGGTTCAAGGAGCCTAAGCATTATGGAAAAAAAGGTTATTAGCAGTTTCTTGGTTTGACTTCTTGAACTCCTAAATCTTTCAGTTTCTCAGTGTCTACAATTGAGGTTTTGTTTTTCTACTGCGTTGTCTCAGGTGTTTTCCTGGAAATGGGAATCAAGCTGAAATTGTGTGGCTGTTGCACACACTGGTGGAGTTTTGCAGTGTAGACCTTCTGACACCTCCGTATTATCTGCCAGTATTTATATGCCTGTTTGTTATGTAGCAGTAACTGCATTTGCAGGAAATAAGTGAAATGTTGGTGAAATAGTAATATTTGTTTTCAGTTGGTTTATACGCAGAGATTTATTTCAACACCAAGTGATTTTTCTCTTTCTTTTTACATTACCTTGGGAAACAAGTTATCGCGCGTTCAGTTGCCTTAAACCGTTGCTGGAGTCAAGAGCTAGAAGAGGTTGTCAGGGTGTCTCCAGGAGATGGTTAGTGACATTTTGAAGCTGGCACATGTGGGAGCTCAATTTCAGAGGGCAGTGAGCTCTCTGAACAGCTGCAACTTTGCTCTTCTTAACTGCCTTTTATTTGCTTGAATAACTGTACTTTCTATGAAACTAAGTAAAGCAGCGGTGAAGGAAATTAGATGCAACGACTATAAAAATAAGTGAAGGAGAAAGAGGACATACATGACTTTAGCGTAACTTATCTTTGACACGCTGATCTGTTATTTTTCACTGATGTAAAAGGTTAAATCCATTAACTGGTGGTCTTCCAGTGAGGACAGAGAGCTGACAAGGCATGAAGGGCTCGGGCCAGCGAAACCACAAAGTACTTGATCTTTGAATGTATGACTTTTATTGTCAGCAGCAAAAATGACTTGACTTTCATATGTTCCCTCTACGTGTGAGGAAATGAACATAAATTAATAGCTACAGTAATTTCCTCTGGGTAAATCTATCTAAACGATCTTAAATAGTAGAATGCTGAAAGGCTAATGGCTTGGATATGTGACATGATGAACATCTACAGCTGTTTGTGAAGCCAAGGGGAGGTCTGGGTGCTCACTGCCTTTGAAAATCAGGTCACAACACCAACGATGTCTTTATACAGAGAATCCCCTTGATTTCGGTAAAATTTACACAACCTTGCAGTAGTGTAACAGCCAGAGGTACCAATACTATACCTGAGCTTCTAAAAATTACAGGGCTTGGAAATTATTGCCTTGTTTGCCTTCCAAGAGATGTTAGACTACAGGTGAAGTGGTTTTATCCCCAACTGTTGAAAGCATCAATATTTTGCATTCATTCTGAAGAGTGAAACAGTTTGTAGACCTGAAGAGTAAATTTTAGGAAATGAACAGCCTCTTTGGGTTTTGCAATTCACATCTCTGAACTCCCCTTGCTGGAATTATCGCTCAGTGATAAAATAAACTAAAATGTTCATTTCAAAGTGATTATAATTTTTCTGCATCACAAGGCATTTGTAAATGTTACACGATAGGTATGTTTTTATTTTTTATTAGTTGTATTTTTTGTCTGCGAGGAAAATGATTTCTTGTCAATATTATCATGTTATTGCATAGTCTTACCAGAATATGCATTTAAGGGAAATAATTTTTTAAAGTCTTTAGATTTGCCTACATTGTGTTTGGCCATTAGGACTCTGTGCTCGTGTGTTGTTATGGTCCAGACCTGACTCAAAATACAGCTCTCATGTATTTTCTCAGCTTCTCATAGATTAACTGTACCAAGGAGTCACTCCAGATACAGTCAGATAATCAAAGTGACCAAGTTTTAGGACACTGCTGCCCAGTAATGGTTATGTACATGCATCCAGTCTTTCCGAACAAGAAATAAAATAGATCAGCCTAAAAGATCCAGCTAACTTATTTTAATACACGGCTATTTAAATTTGAGCTTACCTGCTCCCTCAGCTGAGATGTGTTACCATGTGCAAATTCCTCCACCGTTGCAATGAGAATAAAACAGCTTCATCTGAATTGCTGACTCCTGTACTCAGCAGACAGCACCTCTTGCTCAGCGACTTGCTACCATCTACTGTGGTCTGTGATGACAATTCAAAGGAAGGAGTGATTGTACCAAGCCAGCAAAGCAACAACAGAAAAAAAAAAAGTATGTTTTCTCTCCTTCCTGTTTGGCCTGAGTCTCTGTAATATGGCCACCACCAGGCAGTATTCGCATATATTTCAGTTTTAAAAATTGGTTTACAGTTTGCAAGAGACTGAAAAGCAATAAAATCTAAGCTTACCTAACACCTGGTAGCATTAACTACAGTTCAGAAACTTCAGACTAATATAAGAAGGAACATAATTTGGATTTAGCAAGAGGCAGGATTCATGAATTCTCCATCCACTGTGACTAACTTTGGAAAATTTCCTTCATCCTCTGTTTTTACCTTAACAGACCCACATGGAAAATGAACTTTCACGGGAATGCACTGAAGGTATTTATGAACTTTGAAAATTCTATGTAAATAAAAGCAAGTAGTCAGCGATTGGTACACATTTAAATGTTAACTCTAAAGAAAATAATTTATCTGCTTTTCTTTAT